ATATATTCCATCTTAGATCCATCCTAATTCTCTTTTTCTCCCTCTCTTTCCTCCTCTTTATTCTCTTGCTTTGTCATACATTAAACAGCACTAACACTTCATTAGGATTGCGTGTCTGGCAACAACAGCTAATTTTCTCAGTTCTTCCAGTTTTTAAGTTTGAAAAATAGCTTAAATCTACCAAAAATGTCTGACAGGGCTTTTATGGATAATAGAATGTGCCGTACTTTTCAAGATGTGTCCTCTTGCGTGAAATTACAGCCACTACTTTATCCTCCGAAAGATTTAGTTTAATTAGTCAAAAATAAATGCAGTGAGAGAAAATTGCAATTTAGCTCTGCTTGAGAGGACTTGTCAGGTGGGGTGTAAGAAACATAAAGTACGCTCAACCTGCTTTCAATCAAACTCTTTAATAAGTTCACAATTCATTAATATGTAAGACAGACAATCAATCCAAGCCCTTTGGCTTTGGTTTTGGAAGGTCAAAAGTTGAAGCAAAGTGCACTCGAGGGTTAAACTGTCTTCCAAAGTGCAATAAGATTGTTTACGTCTGCCATCCCTGAGCATGCTCACTGTGTATCAGTTCCATTCCTAATGATGTAAACTGAGTCAATCGCCACAGGTATCCTAATGTTTCACCTATGGATCATTAACCGAGGTCAATAAACTAAGGATAACATTGCACTTTAATTAGTGAAGTGCAGAGCAGAGGTTACACCAATACCATCAGGATAGAATACCGGATATTAGATCTGTATAGATACTGTATCCAAAACCACTCTCTGTAATCATTGTCATTAAACATTCTATCGAAAGGGAAACTATGTGAAGTATTCTGAAAGTCTTCCAAAACTTAATTTTATATTTCTTGGAATTGAATAAAAATAATAATAATAACTTTATTTAACTGTACACTATTATAACAATGGCACACACTATCAAGTGGTGCGTTCACAATAGAACATTCAAAGAATACAGTACATTCGTACATTAAAACACAATAGAGTATAAAAACGTACATACATGAAGTAAAATGAAAGCTGCTAAGCCTATGTTTTCTATTTTCTTTATTATTCAAGCAGGGACAACTGTTTATTTTCCCATTGAAATACCTCTAAAGTTTTCTTTTTTTAATTACAAATGAAATGACTACAGTAGCACCTTCTTTAGACTAACAAAAAATTTTTCTTTTTTTAATTGTAATCGTACGTATGCTTGCGCTAATTTGTATCAATCAAACAGCAGCAATTGATGTTGCTAAAAAAACAAAAATGAGGCGTAAACCAGGCAATCACTGCTTTGCGCAACAGTCGTACTACCGTCGTGCGACAAATCCAAACTCCGTTCCCTGTGAGCTGTAAATGACGCGATGCTGTCTGCTGATTGCCGATGGCAGTCTGAACGAACTGTCATTAAAAAATGATTCATTGGGTGTGCATCGTTGCGTCGCATTCCTTATAGAATCTCGTAGGCTGATGGCCGTCGGGCTTTACAGGAGTGATCCAATACGTTTAATTTTTTTTGTTTGGTAAATTCAACACAGGCATATTGTTTCCATAATTTTCGTTTTCAATCAAATATATTGAAAAAACATAAGTGCCATGATAATATAAATGTGACCTAGTTTTTCTGTTAAAATCAAAACAATGACAGAGTAATTAAGAATGACAAGATACTCAGAAAACATATGTTCATGGTTTGTATTTTTGCTTTACGATGACTTGAGACATTCCGTTGCTATTCAATATGAGCATGCTCTCTAAACAGTGTTAATTGCATTTCCCATAAGTATTTCAGCTTTTTAATTGGCCGTCACTTGTGAATCGAACATTATTTGCAAAGTTCATTAGCTGGTTGAATTCTGCATTAACTTCTAACCTAGATGTGTTTGACTTGTATATCAGTCTTCTAGGACCTAACCTCTGATCTGGTTTTCTCAATGAAAAAGCTACAGGAAATCTAGTGCGTCTTAATGACTTGAGCACAGATTCACTTCCCGGTAATAAACAAGTTCAATTCTATATGGTTCTGGCTGGCTGATGGTCTTTGATCTCTCATCATTTGGGGATTTAGCAGGGAATCGGTTAGCCTCGTTTCTATGACCTTTCAAAGCCGTGGCTAATGGCTTTCTTAAAGGTACTTCTTCTAAATCATCATTTACGCGAGACAGTGGAAACCACCGCCCACAATTAAAGGTAGAAAAATAATCAAGTGTCTAACTTTCCTTCCCCCTATATCCTTATCCCTTTACTAGTGTATGCAGTGGCCTCTCCACACTTGTACACTGATCTATGTTGGAGGGACGGACGGACTTCTGGTTATCATCTTTCTATCAAAACTCTCATCATATTTATTTAATTATTTTCATTTCTTATTCTTTCTAATTGCATTTAATTGCCAAATGAGACAAAATTGTTAAAATGTGTATAACATAGAATTCTTCATTGTAAGAAATTTAGACAAGGCCAAGGCTAAGTCGCAGAATTTCATATGGAAAATAACTTATGTGGCGTAGTGGAAAATCATCAGGCTTTCCATCAATAAAGTGTGGGTACAATGCCATTGCTGATCACATTATTCAATGTCCTTCGGGCAACATTGAATTGTTTTTTAAGACTGGAATTATATTCTTCAACTTAGTGCTAGGGGCAGTTTTCATAATGTACTTTATAAAAAGGTATTGATTAATTGTTAATGTCATCATTAATGACGATAAATACTTATTAATAATTAACTAGAGTTACTGAATAAGCTCTTGACATTTTGCTATAAATTATCCTGTTGATGATAAATTTATCTTTTATTAGAAACAATTTTCTCATTACAGTATTAGTAGTAATCTGTTTTACATTCCAGTTGTTGAGGGTGAAAAATAGAGGGCAGCAGACTGTCTGAAATGTGTACAGTAGTGGGGCTGCCTGTTGCAGCTAAATATTTAAAACCAATTCATTTTCACTCAAACAGAAAAAATGAAATATAAAATAATATAGCGAATTATCAGAGAAATGCTCTCTAAATATTTGTTTTTATAATATTAATATAACATTGAAAATAATTATTTTGACATATAATGGTAATTAAGAATTTTACATAAATAAATCTCACATTTTTCTTATTTTACATTTGGTAATGATACACTTTTATAACAGCTATCACACTATTATAATACTACTGTTACACTAGTATTGTACAATACTATTTTCCATTAGTGTAATATGTTTCTAATATTGCACTAAATAATCAGCAGGTTTCTTAACTCAAGGGGTTCACAGGGGTTCACAGGGATGGTTTGTTAATGGTTAGAGTGCAACTCATCTAGATGCTTGTTAGTTGTAGTTCATATGCACACTTAATTGGGAGGTTCAGTTTCATTGTAGTTGAGAATTCATCTTCAAATCATGTTCTTACTTGATTGTATTACAAACTTAATATGAAAAATCAAAAGAAAACATAAAACTGATTGGTTAGTATCTTTAATCAGCTAGTATGTTTACTGCTAAGCATAATCTTCATTATATTGGAAAAATTTTGGTCTAAGACCTTCTTTGCTTGTAAAATGCAGACGTTTCTAAATTAGTGTTCATTTTTTCTTTTCAACTAATTTTCCCTGCCCTTCTTTACAGGCATTTCGTACATAGTTATGATCTGACAATCAATTGCTGCTCTATCTTATTTTAAAAGCTTGTCAAAAATTGTTTACAATTCTTTTACAAGACCTGAATTTGCAGTTGGTATTGTTGATGGCCATATGTGGCATATATGTTAAGCTGGGGATAAGCTTAAGCCCATATGATCCCTGTGGCTCGGCAAGAATTTACTATATTGTGTGCCATATATACCATAGGCACATGGCTTGAAGAGAACATGTGAGTTGTTGTCGTCACTGCCATTGGGTGCTTACTGTCATAGTCATTCTCAGTTATTATTTTTATTATCGTTATCTTGATTTTTGTTCTTGTCATTCTCATTATTATTATTATTATCAAACATACACGACCTAACTTTGTCCTTAATATTTATTTGCTAGATGCTGAGGGCATACAAGTGAAAAAGCTTGAGAAAATAGCTGAAAAAGCTTCTGATGAGTCCTATGGAAAATCTGACAAAGGACCCTATCAAAGTTTCAGGTAACAATTTTAAATTTTGAATAATTAATGAATTAGGCTCATAAACCATGATGTAAACTTTGGCAAGAACGCTTGCCTTCAAATTCCATGGGTGTTTTTTTTGTGCACAAATCTTCTGAATATTCATTACAACAAAAAAGTTCACCTAAGATTAATTATAGTGTAATTTAATTCAATTTATCAAAGGCATTAAGTGAGGAAATAAGATAAGTTAACATTCCTGTAATAAATAGGTTTTAAGATTTTTCCTAAAAAAAGCAAATTAGACGAACCACAAAACTGAAAGTGGCAAGAAATTCCAAGTAGAGGGAGCTTGAAAACAAAAGGCACGTTGTTAATTATTGTTCAAATATACTCCTCTTCACAACTACATTTTAATATTTGTTTTTTGTGGTAGGGATTCCGTGATGAAGACAATGGTGGTGATGAGTCAAGTTAGCAAAGCAATGCAGGAAGGTCTTTATGATTCCAACATTCCTCGTGACAACATCCAGCCACCCATTGCTCGTCGCGCCTTGAAAGTCAAGAACGAGATCTGTGATTCTGACGGGCTTGGCCACAAACTAGAAAGCAGGGAATCTGAAATCAAGGAATTTAGACGCCTTTTAAAGCTGAAGGTGTGTTTTCATCATAAAGCTTTTCATTGGAAAGAAGTATAGTTTTTAAACAGTTGTTTTGTATTTGCTTTTAATTTACACTCATTTTAGTATCAGGTGCATTTTTTCCAAATGAGGAGAATAAAGCTCTCGAAGAACTAGCCACCATAGTAATAGGGAAGGCACATTATCTTTACCTCAACAATTCTGTTCTACCTCTTACCATACTTTTAGTATTTTATTAATCATTAAGATAATATAATGAAATAGAAAAATATTACTGTTCAGAGTTGATGACTAAATTTTCGAAGTAGTTTTTGATGCCTATTTGGCACCATCATTAGCAGTCCATCTGCTGCTCTTTTGTTATCACATGGTCCCGTTGTTATGGTAATAATTATATATGGTTACATCATGGTTTCTTCCAGCAAGAAGAGGTTAGTGCCTCAGCTGTACGTCTTGGTCTGATTGAAAAGAAGCTGGAAAATGCCAACAAAGAGACCGATGATAGAGTGAGGAAGACTGAATCCAAGCTGGCCATGAAAGATGACATAATAAAGAAGAAGGAAAAGTGAGTACTGACACCTGTATTCAAATTAAACTGCATTCGTAATATCAGTTTGGTCCGTGGTCGGAGAAATGAGGACCGACACATGTATGCAAGTTGTACTGCATCAGGAATATCAATTTGATCCGTAGTCGGAAAAGTGAGTATCAACGCTTGTATGCAGATTATACTGCTTTAGTAATATCAGTTTGATCCGTGGTCGTAAATGTGAGTACGAAAACCTGTATGCAATTCATAATGTATTAGTATTATCAATTTGGTCTGTGGTCTGTACAAGTGAGTATGAACACCTGTATTCAAATTATATTGCATTAGTAAATATCAGTTTGGTCTGTGGTTGAAGAAGTAAGTAGCTACAACTGCATGCAAATTATACTGCATAATAATATCAATTTGGTGTGTGGTCGGTTAAGTGCATTAGTAATATCACTTTCATATTCTGAATTTGCTGTATACATGATTTTTTTTCCCAGAGAATTTGAAGAGACTCTTGATCACATGCAAGTTGACATCGATGCTTTGGAGAAGGAGAAAGCTGAGCTGAAGCAACGTCTGACATTGCTGTCAAAGAAGACGCTATTTGAAGGTATAACCCGGACATCTTCATCATCTGTAGCTGCAATGATGTCAAGTGGAGTTGGTTCAGGTAAGGGATATTTAGTGGTCATATCCAGGACTTTTTAAGCAGGGAGGAGATGGGGGAAGCATTTTCTGCTGTTTCAGAATATGTTTTAATAAATAATTTAGCAATTTGTGGAAGAGGATGTGCCCCATGCTGCCTTTTTCCCACCATTGTTTTTATAGTACCTATGTTGAACTTCCAAGTTTAGAGCTGTTAATACAAGTCCTAGATATTTAAGACTCTTGAGGGCAGTATTTTGTTTTGCCTGCTGATGAGACTGATTATCTTCTGCCTACTTGAGTCTAGCATCCTGCAATACTACTGTTCTTCTGAGGGCGGTGTTATCATCTAATATCATCATTACCACTGATCTCTACTATAATAGCTGGATTGCTCATTGGCTGTTTTTTAGTGTTACATGTAATGATATGTTATAGACAATAATATACAGTAGGCTATTCTGACTTTCTTGTATGTTCCTTTATTGGTATCTTGTTATCAACTGCCTTAAGGCTCCTGTGTCCTTACTATATGTATCTTACAATAGAGGACTCACTCATAATCTTAAGTACCTTCATTACATTAGGGAGCCTGAAACGTCATAAATACGCCATCACAAACAAAAATTTTGAAGCAGCGTTTGTAAATTGCACAATCAGGCGAGTCGAGTAGTTAGACGATTTGGAAAAATCATTATGTTAAATTTAAATTATTAAAATGTATTTTAACAATAATTTAAGCAAATGTCAAAAGAAACTTGTCTAGACTGGTGCGTCACTCGGGCTTTTGCTTATGGGTCAGTGGCTTCACATTTTACTGAAAAATTATTATCAGGTGAGTAATCCAGCTATTGTAGTAGAGATCAGTGATCATATACCCATCATCTTCAATACTACCATTTTTTTGTCTTTGAACATTGAGGGCAGTGTAAAAATGAGTTCCTTCCTCTGTTTTTCTTTCTATTCTTTTTATTTCCTTCATATCACTCTCATAGGTGCTTTGGAAAAATTACTTATTGATGCTGGTTTATATCTTGAAGGTATAGGAGTGAAAAACTTGCATGGAGTGAATCAACCCTATATAGTTAATATTTTATGTTCCCTTAGGCAAGATTTTTTTTATACCTTGTTAGCGAACACGCCGCCCGTTAATAATGGTGATTTCAAATTTCAAATAAAAATTATATTTTTGGCCAATAAGTATACACGTCACCACTAAAAAATAGAAATTTCAGGGAAAAAAAAAAGTTTTTATTTTTATTTTTGTTATGCCTGCTGCTGCCTTAAAATCTTCAAAAATAAGGTATGTATATTTCTTCCTAAAACATAAATTTAAAGAATTTAACCATCCCATCACTACACTGTTTACATTCCCCAATAATTTTTTTATTTTTTCCTCCGTTTGGATTTTTTGGCAAACCTATTTGTTAAGTAAGAAAACAAACATTTATATTTATTTTATTTCCGCCCTCCTCTGACGAACTATGATCGGCAAACAAGGTATAAGGAAGTTTCACCTTAATAACGTGAATAGCAAAAATTGCTGTACATACTAGCAGCACTGCTGGTGTATGTGATTACAGTTGTCCAAAAGCGTTACTGTAAATCACAGGTGGGCAAAGTGCGGCCCGTGGGCGACGACGATTTTTTTTTGCGGCCCACGAAAATGAATTAAAAACCCTATGTGTGCGGCCCGCCAAGTAATATTGGCTAGACAACACCTTGTTTTTTTTTTGCCTGACACCGATCATCTGTAAAAAGTAATATTATAACTGAGAATAAAGTGGTGTAAAAGCAATGATTGGAGGTTTTTGGAACCTAACTGGAACCATCAAAGTTTGGGTGCGGCCCTCTGTGTTTAATAAAAAAAAAATCAATTTGGCACTCTGACCGATTTTTATGCCCACCGCTGCCATAAATCCATGATAAGAGGGAATACCACCGGCATTGGATGCTAAGACTACTGCATGGAGTGATGTGATTTTTTTTCATATGATATATTTAATCTCTTTTTTATCATTTGAGATAGTTTTGGTTATGTGTGTGTGTTGAGTAAGTTGATAACTATATTAATATTATTAATACTAAAATAATAAGATTTGCATTCAGTTACTCCATTATTTGTCATTTGTAAAAAAAAATGTACAAATTAATAAAATAAAATAATATTACTTAATATTGAAATTTTACTTTTTGTAACTTACTTACTCCTATTACATTGTTGGATGTGCTGTGGCCGACCTAGTAAGTAATTTATTATTAAAGTTCCAAATTTAACTTATCTTTTGTCTGTAGGTGGATCACCAGGTTTTGGTGGTGGCCCAGGGGCTAAGGACTCGCCTTTACTTCTGCAGAAAGTAAGTTCAAGTTTTAGATTTTAATAAGCTAAAGCCTTCATATGTGAACATGGTAATAATATGGTTTTAAATCTTGTTCTCCAATATAAATTTTAATTTCAAATATTAAATTAAGAATTTTATGAATGAGATTCTATTTTCATTTTATTAATAATTTAGTTTTCATTGCACCAAACTTAAATTTCTTTCCAGATTGAGAGCCTTTGTGAAGCTCTTCGATATGTGCGAGCTGAGAATAGGAGAATGAAAGGAGAGAAGTTACGAGTAAGTTAGCAAATAAATGTTTGTAGAATTAGGCACGGATGCAAGTGTCAAAAAACTCACCAACATGTACTTCAAAAGGGAATCTCTGTCATTATTTTAGATATCTTGCATTACAAGCAAATTGCAAATTTTCTTCTATGATTTTGGGGGGAGCTTATATGATTGACAGTTGATGTGATATACACATATTTTTTATTAGAGAGGTTTTGCACGCGAATGAATACGTGTACGCATACGTTTAGCTATCCGTAACGGTTCGTAGCCATTCTGTGTTTTTCACAATCACAGCGCAATTCAAGCGTAGCCTAGACCTAGGGCCTTAGCTTAGGCCTACTATACTCTGTTCTCTTCTCTCATCATGTTTCCCAAAGTTTCATTAGTATATGTAATGTTTTGAAAATTTAAATTGAAAATTGTAGCCGAAAAGTACTTCCTTTGTTGCCCAGACGTGTTGGTTATTTTGTGATAATCCCTGTTGTTTATGACCCAAAAGTGCCTGGCTACAAGTATGCCTAGGCCTACACAAAATCCCGACACCTCCAAGGTCAAAGCACCGACGTTTTGATACCCCAAAATTAGACGCATCTTCTCGTAATTTACTGTCTTCAAATGTCTTAAAAATGGCACGTACGTATTCAAAGATACATTTTTTTTACACTTACGTAAAATGTGAAAAAATAAACAAAGATCCTACTAGAAATCCAAAATTTCCCTACGCATTTTTCACTTACATATAGTGAGTGAGATATGTGTGTCGTCCATACATTTAGCGGATAGCAGCCGGCGTATGATGTCAAAATGATGACTTATGCATCACACTAACCGTACGCGTTCGCGTGCGAAACCTCCCTATTATTATTATCGTTTCGTAATCTATATTTTAAAGTGGAATCTCTGTTGCTATTTTTTATAGTTCTGTATAAGATACTGTATGTATTTTGTCCAAGTAAAAAAATTCTCTGATGGCTACAACGGATATTTAATTGGAACTGATTATGAATAATAGTTTTGATACAATATATTACATTTTATTTATTACATTTAAATTTTTATTTCAATTTTTATTAATTTTTTTAATTTAAATTAAAAAAGAAATGATAAATGTTATTGTTATTTATCACCAGGCTATTATGGATGAGCTAGATCCACTGAACATACCGAAGAAACCGGTCGGTCTTGCCAGTCCAACTGGATTTGTGAGTCTTGACCCTGTGTCAGGCACACCAGCTGGTAAAGGCAAAGACACCCCTGCTACTACCGCTCCACAGGAAGATCTGATGGAGTTGAATAGAAAGACAAGAACTCTGCTATCGGTAAGAATTTGCAGCATTTGAAGCTATTCAGTTATAGTTCCTTTCTGTGGTTGAGCCAATTGGCTGTTCTGAAGTTTCAATCTGACTGACCAATCGGAAGTGTTGTAATGTGGGACCGTAGCACTAATATCCATGGGGCGGGGCTTAGTGGAAATATCCATTGCCAATAATGATCATCAGCTCAGTTTAAGTTCTGTCCAAAAAACTGTTGTATGCCCATATATAATCATGATGTGCCTATATATGGTCATGATGTGCCTATATATGGTCATGATGTGATGTCATCATGACCATATTTAGGCATGTCACATGTTTGTTTTTTCCAAACAATTAACTTATTTGTGTTAGTCAAATCAGTATTTCATTTCAGTTTTTGATCTGTATGTTTCTTCATCCATTTTATTATTACGGTAAATACAATTTCTCTTACAGGAACTTCAAGTCCTGAGTGCATGTCCAAAAGTGATTGACATCACCAACAGAAAACCAGGGGTTGTACCGGTTGTTGCTAAGGCGAGACCAATCAATCAGCTGGCTGCTTCTACCATTAGACTTAATGAACTCCATGATAATATAATTAAAGTAAGAGAAAAAAATTGTTAAATCTTGTTAATTCCTTATTTTTTGGAAATTTATTCTTAAAATGTGACCGGCTCTTGCAAAACCATTGTTTTTGTCGCATTCTCTAATATCCCACAACATTTTCATGTTTTTGCATTACGTAAAAGAAGATATATTAAAGAACATTTCTGTAAAATATCAATCTCAAAAATTTAACAAAAAATCATATTAAAATTATTTTTAAAATACAAATCTTAATAATAAACTATTGATTTTGGAATCTTTGGAAGCTGTCTTCTCAAAACCTATATGGCTGATATCCTTTGCTTAACACTCAATCAATTTCCATCAACTAGACACTGTTTTGAAGAAGACTACTTCTCGCAGAACTAAAAACACTAAAACTCAATTTTGATTTGCCCATATATAGGCATGATGATGTCATATTGCATCCAATCAGGGGTTTAGCCAGAAAAACCAAAATAGGTCATCCAAACTGGAAGCCAGTGGGTGTGGCACTGAGCCGATGGGCGGGCCATGCCCATCTTTGGGAATCCCTACCGAATATTTGTACGAAAACAATGTACATTCAATCAATAAATGTTGTTTTATCAAACATAAATATGATTTAGCTTTAGTTTAATCATGGACTTATTAATAAAAATGTAAAATTTGATAGATTTGCCCAATAAGGCTAGGCCGAGCTGATTAGGCCAAGTCATCCAAGCTGTCACGGTAAAAGTGGCTGTCCTAAATAATTGTAGGCCGTCCAAAAGCGGTCGAACGGCTCGCTGGCTAAGCCTAAGCGTCCAATAGAGTTTTTTTAAAATCGATGAGATTGAAACTTGTTAAGATCAGTTTGAAATGACATGAATATGTATAAATGATGATAATATTAATAATAATATCAAATTTGTATAGAATTCTACCCAGTGATGTTTTAGAATTCTTAACACATCGTTTGCTGTCAATACAACCTCAACGGTAAGAGGTGGGACATTGAAACCATATTGAAATTATCTACAATATAGTGTCGTGTCAAGAAGGCAAATTCAAGGGTCCCATGTCTCTCACAAGTTGGGGGAGCCTTCCTGAAACAGGGACAGCCTTCCGCACTTCCATAAGCATGCATGAATCTTCCGGAAAATTACCCATCTTTCGCGTATTCATAATATTTGCATGTTTTTACTACTGTACTTTATCACTTGTCTCACGGAAATCGGTGATAGGTAACACAGTGTGCAGGAACCCCTACAAATTGTTAATGGTCTCTTTATATTTTATCAATTATCAGTGAAAATTAGCACTGTGAGTGGGACAGATACCAGTGTATAATACATACATATATAAATATATGATGTCATTTCTATTTATAGCTACAAGGAGAAATGCAGCAAGCAATTACAAAGGTGAAGCCAAGAGCCAAAGTTCAAACAGACTTCTCTGCTTTTGCAATACCCCAGTATACTAAGGTAAGAGTTAGTGATTTTGTAGATATTAGTACAGTATATAATCAATGTTGAGTGCAATGGATAAAATATTTACATGAGGAAGTTAAAGATGGAATGTTCCATTGTATGAAGGTTAGCTGAGTTGAATGGAATGTTCTATTTGTTCATGTCCCTACTTAATTTGAATGTGTAGGTGCAGTACATTAATTACAATTCATCTCATGTTTTGTGTTTTATCCACCAGGCACAGTTGGAAAAAAGCAATATTCCATGTATTGGAAGGATATCCATACCAGTCAGCAAAGGTCAGCAGTCAGAATCTCTGGCAATTAACCTTCAACCTCACCAGCTCAGGCAGCTGCATTCCAGGCTCATCATGTGATTTCAAATTTAACCTGACCATGGGACTTCGAACTCTAACCTGATCATGTGATTTCCAACTTTAGCTTCATCCTGTGACTTTCTATATTGATTTTCATGGTAATTACCCCAGTAATTGGTAAACATAATTATGAACGAGTTTTTGAACAACTTAATTAATAATATAACTATATATCTTCAAGCTGTAAACATACAACTATGTCCATAGGTACTGTAAGTGCAAAACTAGGAATGGACATTTGTTCTTTATGGTAAGTGCAAGTCCAAAATTCTATTTAAATAATTTATATTGTATTGTTTGTTTTTTAGTTGAAATGCACTTTTGAGAATTTTTAGTGTTTAATATTTTATTTATCAACACATTTATTCAAAGATGCATTGATTTTCATCTACGAATGTAGAGTATTGTGTTACAGGCTGTGAGGGCGCTACTGCTAGTGTTTTCGTAAATAACATAAACCTTTTGTAGTCATATGCCCACATCCTAGCTGGCAAATTGTTGATGATCTATATCTTTCAGAAGAAAATGTTTTTTTTTCCACTTATTTGGGTTCTGTTATATTTCTTTATAAAGTTTTTATAAGATAATTTGGAAAGAATGACCTATTTTCCTTTATATCCACACTATATATTGTATCCATGATCAACACCTAACTACTGTAATACAACACAAATACATGTTGTAGAATGTATGTAAAAGTACATGGACACACTGCACATTTCTGTCAGGCACTATTGTTATGACATTTTTACGACAGCTAAAGATGAGAAAACAGAAAGAGTGAGACCAACAATTTTACAAATTTACTCTAACTAAATGTTTTTTTTTATATAAATATAAATAATATAAATGAAATAATTCATTACAAAATACATGACAATACATGCTCTTGTTTAGCTACCGTCGCTCACATGAAATTTTCAGATCCAAGAGTAAAGAAGAATGAATTGTTCAAATCAGGTTGTTTAAAAGTAAAAATTTTTCAAAGCAAAAATTGTTCAAAGTCCAACACCATCATGCTCCACACAGGCTGTCCCGCGCATTGTCTTTCTCTCTTGATTACATCTCGACAACTAACTCGTCGTCTCTCAAACATCGTTACTTAACAAGTCCTAAGTCATTGTAAAGTCATTCACCCTTTTCATGGTTTTACTCCCTTTCTCAGAAACTACACCCTTCTACATACCTACTGTCTTACACATCCCAATCTCTTCAATCACAATTAATAACCACGATGATTCAAGCACCACAAAAACTCACATCTTCACTTCTTGGACATTGAACTTTAAGATGTGTAAATGATTATAATGATGAAATTGACAGTGGTAATACTATTCATTACTTGTAAGAACATGGTTACTGTATATTTAAATTTTATTCCCATATTGAATGTTTGTAAGTGCACTGTGAAATACAACTTTAATGCTGTGGCTAATGCTTACAAAAAGTTGTAATATTCAGTTCTGTAGCTAAGTGATAATATGACACCACTGTATTAACAATAACTAAAAATGTCTCCTATTTTGAGTACTAATGATCAGTGGAACTCACATTGGATCGACATTGACATGGAGCTACTTAGTGGGTGGGGTAGGTTAATCATATATTTCATGCATGATAGGTTCCTATTGGGGCATCTTCCACTGATAGTAGATATGAGTTGTGTAACACTGCGGTCAAATGCTTTGACAGCATCCTGTGCTATTTGTTTCATCGTATCAAAAATAAAGCATGCAAATATACTATGTGAATTTTTTTTTTTTTATATGCTTATGAGTTTGTAAACAGAGGGGGTGGTTATGCCTGTTGTTTCCTAGGGTTATTCATTTTGATTCAGGCGTGTAGTTTCGATGATCTTAGCAATTCTTGACTAGGGAACAGTGCAGAGTTCAGTGTAACACTTAGTTAATTACATTCTTAGTTGGGGTGGATTTAGTGGGTGGTGGTTGAAAGTGGGGGGAACGAGATGAAAAATTAAGCCTTGGGACATAGGCCCAAGCAATGGTTAAGCCTTGGTTAGGGACCAGGAAGCCCTGGAAGCTCTGGCGCATATAGCCTTTTAATTGATTTTTACGCAATGCAATTAACATTTATTTCCATACGAAATTTTTAAAATATCCAGTGGCGGATCCAGTAATTTGAAATAGAGCTGGGCCCAGAGAGGGACTTTTACAGATGGAGAGTGAGAGCACACAAAACATTAGTTAGCATTTTGATTTCACAAACATAAAGGTGATTTACTTAATTTATCATTATCAGTGGCGCCTCCAGGAAAGCAAATTAGAGGGGGGACAGGGAGGGACTTGCACGTTGGAAAAGATCACCTCAGCCCCACCATGATTATGACACTCTAGATTGCCGGAAATGGCACTCTCAGACCTAAATTCCAATTTTCCTTTGTTTTTTTTTTAAATTTTGAAAAAATTAGGCCCGGCTCGGCCCCACTTGAATCTGCCACTGATTATTATGGCGTCATTGCGAGACTGCATCAACGTAACACTGGAGTTTGTAAACTTTTGGTAGGCTTATCACTTAATCGAAATAGAGATCATATCCGTGAAATTAGAAAAAACAGTAATCCTATGTATGTAGATAATATTAAACACTAATATATATACGTACGGGTCATAATAATATACAAAAAGAATAAATCGTTTATATTAGAAATTGTGCACTTTGAGTTTGTAAAAATATTGGCCTAATAAGGATACATGCTTCAAATTTCAACAACGTTCAGTACATGTTTTCACAATAAATTTAGCCTCTGATAGTCGTTGCACCCATAAAATCGATCTAGTGGGTTTCTGAGATGGTTACAAATTGTGTAAACAATTGCGTTTTTACTTGGTTTTGATCCGGAAAATACATACCGCACTTAGAAAAGTGAACAGACAAAATTCATGAGTCATGCGTAATTGTTATTCTTTCCATTCGCTTGTAAAAGTGGGGTTTTAATCATAGAAGATTGGTGAAAAGTGGTGGGGGGGGGGAGACAATCGAAATTATGTCCCCCCCACTTTGAAAAGTGGGGGACCCATCCCCAGCCCTAGCATCTCCCTTTTGGAAAGAAAAAAAAAATGAAATTTTTAATCTCCCAAAATGCCTCAGAGGTTATTGCAAGGCATTTAGAAAACAAACATTTTAGGACCCCCCCCCCCCCACACAGTGTAGTATTGACACTTGAATTCCCTCTGGATCCGCCTCTGCTTAGTATAAATTTCCTTGCACGAAGTACCAGAAAAACACTGTCTTATCGTTTTAAAACATATCCACACCAATCTACAGTGTCTGGCCTATGCAAAGTTTGCACTAACATGTACTTCACATGTCTTGGTTCATCCTTTTTATACACAGAGTGTGCTGAAATGTACTGATCTTTAATACAGTACATATATAAATTAAGCACAAAATATACAGTAGACAATTTTATTGTACCAAGGAGGGTCAACAATCTGACCATTATTTGCATTCTTACGGTGTTATTAGATTATCAGTTGGTAATCCCAGATGATAAGTTGCTCCCCAAACACCGATTACACAGTAGCAAACTGTCAAACACTTTTACTATATTACTTGCATTTGGACTACTATTAACACCAGCTATTTTTACCACCAGACTTGCTCTAAAAAGGAGTCTGAACTGAAAGGTACATTGGCAATTCCAAAAGCACAGATAATGCACTTTGATCATTATTGCACTTGATCCAATCATGTAGTACTGTACTTTATGTATAGATCTGTCAATGTTTTAATGTGTGCAAATTTTGGAAGAGCATGAAAAGTAAATTAACGGAATCAAGATGGGATGTGACTAATTTTGGAAATTCCAGTATAGCTAATTTGGGTAGGCAAAAGGAGTAAAAATTATGTCAACCCTATCCCACTACAGTAACTATTTGGCAAAGCAAAAAAAATAGTCATGTCCGATCTATTTATTTATCCCTTGAATAGTATGAAGTACAGCATTTTCTAATTAAAAAATATATATGCCAAAGAGGGCAACCTAACCATTCCAGCTGATCCTACAAAGTCAACTGGGGGTCATTAAACGCTTCAAATGAAGTCTCATTGTACGGCCTGTTTCTTTAAGGGTTCGATCCCCAGATTTAGCCAGCAACAGCTCATACAGTAGGTGTTATGCTACTGGGGGGTCAAAGATATCCAACAGGTGCCTAAAAAATTCAGACGAAGCCCAGCAGGTTTTAAGCAGTTTTGAGATGTTTTAGGACTACTGTCAAAGACTAAACAAAAAGCAATTGTTTTTCTTGTAAAGTTATGTCCAAGTCATGGTTGCCAGTAAAAGCTTTGCCTGTCCAATGAAGTCTCCATCCCTGCTCCCTTCCCTCCATCTAATGGGGTTGCATGTTGTTTATGATAGCAAACTAATACTAATGTAAATCCAGTAACTAGGGGTGGTACTGGAGCCAGCCTCGAGGAAAAATTATTTTGACATGTAAAAATTATACAGATCACAAAAATGACAAATTTTAATCAACAAAATATATTTAATACCTATATCATATCGCAATGAAAATCACAACGATTTAAAAGTAAAAATAATGCATTACAAAAATATAAAAGAAAACGTTTTACCTTCTCAATGTCACATTGTTTATCTAGAAACATAACTACACTTTTGAAACCAGCAAACATGGATGGAAATTTGGAAGAAACAGATCTATAATTTGTACTTTTCTGAGAAAATTAAGAATGCGCTTTTCAAACATGAAAAGCATATCCTAATTCCGGTATTATATGGCAATTGTAAAAAAAAATTAAAAATTTGATTTGTTGGTATTTTCAACCAATGCATTTACCTGCAATCAGACTAAATGTTTGTGGGTGTATCCAAAAGTACCATCCTTTTTTCAACAATGTAGCCTAGTCTGCCTTTTTTAACATAATATAAAATATATAAAAACACACTTATCTACTAGATTTGTTCAAGGCTAATGGGAAAGTTAAAAATGATTTTTGGTCTTTTAAATTAGTTTATTTTTTTGTCTTAAGTCACAAAATTAAGATTATTCTAATTCTAAGGCAATTACTAACTGATTCGTAACTGTACTATGTCATTTGTTACTGGTACTGTAGAATATTCTTTGGCTTTAAAAAATTTTGTACAATATATACAAAAACCATGGTTTTGGTTTTTTGAGCTGACTGTTCATACACCATATGATAGCATAATTGCTAACATTAGTACATAAGGTGTCTGAAGGCCCTTCTGCGTTCCATTGCAATTCGCTCTTGCTGGCGCCGTGAGTATTCCATCCTACGGCTATGCATAATGTTACGGTGTACGTACGGTGCGTGTCTGGGTGCCCTGAGATCTGGATATTGACAGAACATGTGAGGAGCATACTCTTCGTTGTAGTGATTGTAGCCATAACTTTGCGCTACATACATTTTCCAAAACTGTTGCATAGCATGCAGATTCTGTTGATGAAAGACCCGTTGGCATGGTTCTGGCTGAATATGAGGGGTTCCAACAGAATTCTGCTGATTACGCATTTGCATAAGTGGAGGGATGCGTTGAGCATTTACTTTGGGTGGGTTCGATGCACTCACAACATGGGAAATTGGCGCAGCGAAGGATTGACTTTGGTCTTTCTTGTTTACTCGAGGTGTGATTATGGGATGGATCGGTTTTGGCTCACTGTCAAAATCCAGATATTGAGGCAAATTATCTAACTCTGTGAAGTTACACAATTTTGCGACCTTTGGCCTGGGTTCACTGTTAACTTCCTGATTAGGTCGTGCTAACCTCATGTTAACGTGTGCTGACACAGCTTGGAAGGTATCAAAATTGTGACGCGGCGTCTGAACACCCCAAGTTGAGCAGATGTGTGTAAGTATGATATTAGTTATTCGTCGATGGGCTCTCATCTGCCAGTGAATGCCATCCCCTGCACGCCAATGCAGCAAGTCCTTGAACATATAATTTAGGTCCACAATATCAAAATCGTGAAACTTGGCAAGTTGGCATGCGTAGTAATTGCCCTCCATAACGTTGAGATTTAAAGAATCGCACAAGGAGCTTAACTCAGGCAAAAGAAACCCTCCCTTTACTTTGCTTGCCACAGGCAAAGCAGTGTTCCAAATAATTCTACATCTGTCCCAGAATGACACCCTCAGCATTTGAAATGTCTTTTTGAGGTTCTTCTTGTAGGCAGCCATGGAGTGGGGCCCGTACCTTGAAATATCCCAAAGACAAGAGTTCATGATCAAAATATCGGGAATAAGATCCATTAGACTCGTAAAGATGGTCTTCATATATGGACTGTTGACACGAGTCACAAAATAGAATCTGTAGAAACAGAACAATATGTTTTATTCACAAGTGAAATCTACAACTATATACAATTTTAGATTAAGTTGAGAAAAAAAAAGGAAATAAAATACAAACCAGTATATAATTGTCATGAAATTCATATTTGTATATACTTTAAAACCAACCTGAAGTTGAAAATCAAGAATACTTTATTCTCAATGATCAAACAGAATGAAATTTGTTTTGCCAGTTGCTAAAAATACATTTAAAAACATCATTAATGGTTAAACACAAAATATTAAAATATTAAAACATTCAAACTAAAAGGTATGACAAATAAATATATTATTTTATTGCACAAGTTGAGTAATTACAAAGGTATTTGCGTTGAGTTGAAATAAAATTATGGTACGAGTTTTAAGCAGTGTTCTCCTCAGGATTTTTTAAAGGTGGAATGGGAAAACGCGCAGCGACCCCTCGTTTGGCGCATAATATTCCACTGTGCCGCAGTTTTATTAATCCTGCTTTGAGGTTATATAATTAATTATTAGGCCCAATAAAAAGAAAATCCTTAGTTTATTACCCTCACGAGCATGTATTCTATGATTACTCAAAAAAAAAAATTATTTTGATTTTTTTTTATAGATTTTTTCATTTTTAAAAATTAAATAGTTAGTATATTGTTTGTACTATCTCAATCATGTTTTAATTGAATGTCAATGCACCAGGAAACAAACCAAGGGTGATGTCTGGCTTAAGCAAAATGAAATTTAAAAAAAAGTCAGCCTCCCCTCCCTCATCACTTTTCCACCCTAGATAGGGTGATAAGCTAATAAAAATGTATAGGGCCTCCCCAGCCAGAATATTACTTTAATTCTTTTAAGGTATTTTATTTTTTAAATTGTAATAATAATTAATAATAAAATGTTATTTGTAACTAAAATAATTAAATTTATTTAAACTTATTTTAATATTTAATTTAAATTTATAATAAAATAATTAATAATAAAATGTTATTTACATAGTAAAGTATATGCACTTGACACTGTGACTTGTATTTTTTTTAAAAATAAATGTGTTGATTTTTGGAATTTAAATTTTTGAGTAGAATTAATTATTGGCTTAAATGGAATTTTCCATTCAGTTGTGTATGTTTTTACTTTGCTATAGTTTATTTTTTTATTTTTTTATTTTTTCTTCACAATAAATTTTATTCAATCAATTTCCTTTATCATATATATATATTTTTTTTACAATTACCAATTCAAAGATTGATTGAAAAGGCATCAATTACAAGCAAGCTTTAAGTTTTGATGCCCTACAAAGAAAGAACAATAATAACTATAAAATAAAAAAAAAAAAATAATAATAGAAGACGATTCATTTATAAATCAAGATTCTTTAAAAAAGTGTAATAATAATATGACAAATACTATGGAAAGAAAAGTAAAATTTCGACCAAGTAAAGTAAAGATTACCAGTTTTATCTATATTTGTTAAGTAGTCTGTTATGTATTTCTCTTTTAAATAAACTAATACTTTGTAGATTTTTTATATTGTGTGTGTATAAGAGACAGCGTTTAAACGAGTATAAAAAGTAATAACGTCATAAATAAAAATTCAATTTTTTCTTAATTCAAATGGCAATATGATGACATCACAATGTCCGATCAGCCAATATGATCTATAAAATCGTATCTACAACTCATGTGCTTTCAGAATATGTAATAAAAATTGGGGGTCA